CGAAATTGCCCCCGGCGCGATTTTTGTTTTCGATTAACCTGTCAAATTTTAGCAAATTCCGACACAGTTGCGAAAAATGACGAAATTCACTCGGCGCGATTTTTATTCCCGATCAACCTGTCAAATTTGAGCCCATTCCGACACAGTCGAGAAAAATGACGAAATTGCCCCCGGCGCGATTTTTATTTCCGATCAACCTGCCAAATTTCAGCCCACACAATCGAGAAAGCTGACGAAATTGCCCCCGGCTCGATTTTTTTTCCGATCAACCGGTCAAATTTTGGCCCATTCCTACACCTTCGCGAAAAACGTCGAAATTGCCCCCGGCGCGATTTTTGTTTGCGATCAACCTGTCAAAATTTTAGCCAATTCTAACACAATCGCGAAAAATGACGAAATTCACTTGGCGCGATTTTTGTTCCCGATCAACCTGTCAAATTTGAGCCCATTCCGACACAGTCGCGAAAAATGACGAAATTGCCCCTGTCGCGGTCTTTGTTTCCGATCAACCGGTCAAATTTTAGTCCATTCCGACGCAGTTGAGAAAACTGACGAAATTGCCCCCGGCGCTGTTTTTTTCCGATCAACCGGTCAAATTTTAGCCCATTCCGACACTGTCGCGAAAAATATCGAAATTGCCCTCGGCACGATTTTTGTTTTCGATCAACCTGTCAAATTTTAACCAATTCCGACACAGTTCCGAAAAATCAAGAAATTCACTCGGCGCGATTTTTGTTCCCAATCAACCTGTCAAATTAGAGGCCATTACGACACAGTCGCGGAAAATGACGAAATTGCCCCTGTCGCGGTTTTTGTTTCCGATCAACAAGTCATATTTTAGTCCATTCCGACACAGTTGAGAAAACTGACGAAATTGCCCAACCAATTCCGACACAGTTCCGAAAAATCAAGAAATTCACTCGGCGCGATTTTTGTTCCCAATCAACCTGTCAAATTAGAGGCCATTACGACACAGTCGCGGAAAATGACGAAATTGCCCCTGTCGCGGTTTTTGTTTCCGATCAACAAGTCATATTTTAGTCCATTCCGACACAGTTGAGAAAACTGACGAAATTGCCCACGGCGCTGTTTTTTTCCGATCAACCGGTCAAATTTTAGCCCATTCCGACACTGTCGCGAAAAATATCGAAATTGCCCCCGGCGCGATTTTTGTTTTCGATCAACCTGTCAAATTTTAGCCAATTCCGACACAGTTGCGAAAAATGACGAAATTCACTCGGCGCGATTTTTGTTCCCGATCAACCTGTCAAATTTGAGCCCATTCCGACACAGTCGCGAAAAATATCGAAATTGCCCCCGGCGCGATTTTTGTTTTCGATCAACCTGTCAAATTTTAGCCAATTCCGACACAGTTGCGAAAAATGACGAAATTCACTCGGCGCGATTTTTGTTCCCGATCAACCTGTCAAATTTGAGCCCATTCAAATTGCCCCCGGCTCAATTTTTTTTCCGATCAACCAGTCAAATTTTAGCCCATTCCTACACCTTCGCGAAAAACGTCGAAATTGCCCCCGGCGCGACTTTTATTTGCGATCAACCTGCCAAAATTTGAGCCCATTCCGACACAGTCTCGAAAAATGACGAAATTGCCCCTGTCGCGGTTTTTGTTTCCAATCAACCTGCCAAATTTCATCTCATTCTGACACCGTCGCGACAAATGACAAAATTGGCCCTAGCGCGATTTTTGTTTCCAATCAACCTTCTAAATTTCTGCCCATTCCGACACCATCGCGGCAAATGACAAAATTGCCCCTGGCG